CCTTTCTTCTTGATAATGCCAGAAGGAGCTCATGAACCTGAAATTTTATAAAGACAAGTAGAGAAGAACTAAGCCCACACTACAGAATGAACAATATGCAGTTTACTACGAGTTACCTTAAGCGTATATCACATATGCAGCCACTGAAGTTTGGCTGAGATTTCATTGCTAATCCATAGCAATTATGTTTCTAGTTTTTTTTTCTTCACTCATAATTTAGTAATATTTAATGAGGTCTATTACTGTGATAACAATTGAGGATCAGTGAAGAATAAAATTTTATTGTTGTCTTTAAAGAAACTCACAGTAAATCTGTTGTTGTTGGGTGCTGTCAAGTCAATGCTGACGCATAGTGGCCCTATATGACAGAGTAGAACTTCCCCATAGAATTTTCTTGGCTGTAATCTTTAGAGGAGTAGATCACCAGGTCTTTGTCCTGTGGAGCTGCTGAGTGTGTTCGAGCTGCCAACCTTTCAGTTAGCAGCCAAGGACTTAACAATTATGCCACCAGGGCTCCTTACTACAGTAAGTCTATGTCCTGATTTTTGTCTCTCCCGGGTCTTCTATTCCAATTTCTCCACTTCTATACTGGTCCCACTTCAACTCACATGGAGCAACCCCTTCCGGTCTGGCTCCAACTTACCTCTCCTGCTTCACCTCAACTGCTCCTCCCTGAATATCTTGCACTTCCACAAGGCAGACCACGCTGCACATACCCGCTGTTGGTCCATTGTCAAAGCATGCCCTTCTCTGTGTCCTCCTGTTGAGTCCCTGTCGTCCTTCGTGCCCAACAGAGCTCACCACACTCTCTCTGGGCTTCTGTGGCACGTCTTTCAAAGCTCTGAGTCAGTGGTTCTTGTGCACATTATAAATGCCTGGAATCAACTTCTAGACAGTCTCAATATCTGGGATGAGGTTTGTCAGATATATTTTGAAAAAAACCTTCCCAGGTCATTCTGATGTATATCTCTGTATGCGAACCACATTTTCAAGTGTTGAGGTTGCAAGACTTATCACATTCCATATCTGTTCTGTATACACCTTTCTAATCACACTAGCGTGAGGTTGTCTTAAGATAAAACAATGACTTAATATCTTTAGTCTTGGTATATAGGTTAAATATATATGTAACTTATATGCATGGGTGAATGGAGCCCTGGTAGCACAGTGGTTAAAGCGCTCGGCTGCTAACTGAAAGGTCAGCAGTTCTCCTCGGGAGAAAGATGTGGTAGTCTGCTTCCATAAAGATTACAGCTTTGGGAACCCTATGGGGCAGTTCTCCTCTGTCCTATAGGATCACTATGAGTCAGAAAAGACTCAAGAGCACACAACAATAACAACATACCTGTGTGACACAATGGTTAAGTGCTTGGCTACTAATTAAATGTTGTCAGTTCAAACTCACCCAGTGACATCTTGGAAGATCTGGCAATCTGCTTCCAAAAGGTCACAGCCATCAAAACCCAATGGAGTGCAGTTCTAATCTACACACATGGGGTTGTTATGTGTTAGAATCAACAGGAGAATAGCACAGAATACATGTAGGAATTAAAAACATTTGCCACTGAATGAGGAGAGAGATAAGAACATGTGTCCAGTGTTTCAATGGGATTTTCTCCTATAAAGCTACTGGTAATTTGCAAGAGTCGAGCTACAGATGGAGTTTCCTAGGAACAATACCAGATGATTTGCTAAAATATTTTAAGGGGTGCCCTGATTTTGTGTGCCCTAGAGTCCCTTCCAGAAACCTTGGTGGCGTAGTGGTTAAGAAGAGTTCAACTGCTGACCAAAAGGTTGGCAGTTCAAATCCACCAGGCACTCCTTGGAAACCCTATGGGGCAGTTCTACTCTGTCTTATAGGGTCACCATGAATTGGAATCGACTTGTCGGTGATGGATTTGGTTTTTGGTAGAGTCCCTTCCTCATTGTAACCTCACCTTTTCCTTGGACACTTATGAGGTCATTTATGAGGGCCATTGAACCCACGTCCTCTCTTCCTTAGTCATCTTAATTCACAGGCAACATATTGTGGGACCCTCTTCTCTTGTGCTGGTCTAGACAGATATCAAATTTAAACATCAATATTAAAATACTCTCAGGTTGCAGTAGATGCAATTACATATCATTTGATATACAATGCATAATAGAATTTATTTTTAAAAGACCTACTAAAAAACTAATTTGAAAGGAGACTTGAGTTCAGTGTCAGCAGTAATAATTTGCACTATTTGGATACTGCTCACGAAATCCACACTTTTTTAACATTGTTGTCCTTCTAAATAAAGACAGTGCTGGATGATGTGCCTCTGAATTAACACTTTGTAGCAAGAATTAGAGGTCAATTTATTCTAACATGGCTTGTGCCTCTCTCCTCTGTAATCTGGTAGTGTTTATGGAAACTGGTGGTTTAGTCAGATCCTCATAAATATTTAATGATTGCATATTTAACGAAAGTTTGTTAACAGAGATATTTCAACAAAACAATGGTGGTGTTGTCCACTAATGAAAATTATATTACCTAACCCCTCCACCAGTAAAGTATGAGCTTCAAGTGGTTGCTTTCCAGGTAATGGGGCTGATTTGCACTGCCCCATCTAGGGTTTGCCCAGTTAAATTTGAATAATGATAGATAATAGATAAATGACAAATACTTATGCATACTTATACTAAAAAAAGTATTATTTGTCTGAAATTCAAATCTGAGTGTCATAGTTTCCTAGGGATACCTTAATACAAATCCCACAAGTGGGTGGCTTCAAAGAATAGAAATTTGTTTTCTCACAGTTCAGGAGGCTAGAAGTCCACATTTGGGATATTGGCTCTACTGGAAGGTCCTTCTTTGTCTCTTTTAGCTTCTAGTGGCTGCCAGCAACCCTTGGCGTTCCTGGGCTTGTAGACAGTTCCTCACACGGCCTCTTCCTCGCAAACGAGCGCATGTGTGTCTATTCTGCTCTTTTGATGAGACATCACTCAGAAGGGATTCGGGTTTAGGACACATCCTACTCCAGTATGGCCTCATTAACATAACAAAAAACGCTACTTCCAAACAGTGTCTTATTTATAATTACAGGGGTTAGGATTTCCACATTACTTTTCTGGAGACACAATTCAATCCATAGCACTGGGCCTCCTGTGTTTTACATGGCAAACTTGTCATTGTTGGGTGCCGTCAATTTTGATTTTGACTCATAGTGACCCCATGTGACAGAGTAGAACTGCCCCATAGGGTTTCCTAGGCTGTAATGTTTACGGGAGCAGATCACTGGGACTTTCTCCCACGGAGCAGCTGGTTAGCAGCTGAACGCTTAACCATTGTGCCACAGGGCTCCTTTAGCCCTATCCAAAATCTGTCACTCTGCCCCTTACCCCAGAAATGCATTCTCTACCCACTGAACACAACAAAAGGGCACTCTTAACTGACATACATATATATTTATTAGAAACTACTTCTAATCATCTCAGCATATACTTCCTGTGACTGATAAAGTAGCAAATTACTTCTTGGTTGTAGTTGCCATGAGAAGTATGTGCTCTGTACATCTAAATGCCAAGGAGAGTGGATGTCAGTGCGATCAGCTGGAAGCTACTGCCAGAAGCGAATGGAATGAAAACATGATGCTACTTAGAAATAGCTGTTGTTGTTATTGTTAGTAGGTGCCAACAAGTGGTCAATTTCTACTCATAATGACCCCATGTGACAGAGTATAACTGCCCCACAGGGTTTTCTAGGCTGTAATCTTAACAGGAGCAGATCTCCAGGTCTTTTCTCCCACGGAGCTGCTGGGTGGGTTTGAACCACTGACCTTTGGGTTAGCAGCTGAGCACTTAACCATCACACCTCCAAGGCTCCTTATAAATAGCTTGTTGTTCTATTGGTCTCTACTCATCTGGACCAAAAGAGAAAGAAGGAAATCAAAGACTTAAAGAAGAAACTAGTCTACAGAGGGCAACAGTCTACATAAACAACAACATCACCTACCTTGAGACCAGAAGAACCGATGCCGCCCAGCTACCACTACCAACTGTTCTGACCAGAGACTCAATAGATGGTCCCAGATACAATGGGAGAAAACGTAGAACAAAACTTAAATTCCTAAAAAAAAAGGCCAGACTTGCTGGACTGGCAGAGACTAGATGAACTCGAGACTATAACCCTGAGATACTCTTTAAACTTGGAACTCAAACCACTCTGAGAAGTCATCTTTCAGCCAAATGACAGATTGGCCCAAAAAATAAATAATATCATCCATAAGTACTGTCTACCTCAAAATAATTTCATCGAAATGAAACAAAATGGTAACATTTACCCTAAACCAAAGATGAGAAGGCAAAGAGGGACAGGGAAGCTAGATTAATGGAAACAGAACAACCAGAATGGGAATAATGAGAATGCTGATATATTGTGAAAAATGTAACTGATGTCTAGAAATTGTTAAATGAGAACCTAATTTCCTGTGTAAACTTTCACCGAAAACACAATACTAAAAAAAAAAAAAAGGAATGGCTTGTCGTTGTTGTTCAGTGCCATCAAGTTTGTTCCAACTCATAGCAACCCTTTCTACAACAGAATGAAACACTGCCCAGTCCTGCGCCGTTCTCACAATTGTTGCTATGTTTGAGCCCATTGTTGCAGCCACTGTGTCAATCCATCTCATTGAGGGTCTTCTTCAATCGTATTCTGAGTGCCTTCCAACCTGGGGGGGTCATCTTCTAGCATTATATCAGGCAATGTTCCACTGCTATCCATAAGGTTTTCAATGGCTAATTTTTTTTTTTCCCAGAAGTAGATTGCCAGATCCTTCTTCCTAGTCTGTCTTAGTCTGGAAGTTCCACCGAAACCTGTCCACCATGGGTGACCCTGCTGGTATTTGAAATACTGGTGGCATAGCTTCCAACATCATAGCAACACACAAGCCACTACAGTATGACAGATTGATAGACAAATAGTGGCTGGCTTACAAGGACTAATTATTGTCTTCCATTTCTACCTCCATACCCAGCTCAGAAGCTTAAGAAAAGTTCTCAAGGGTCTCTTGAATGGAAAAAGTCACTTCCCCGACCTCAAGACACAGAATTTCGACGGAATTACCAAGTTCCAGCTAAAATGCCTGAGTATCAGGATTTTAGTTTCAAATATGGATGCTACTCAAGCCGGCCAGTTGCTTCTCAGGGTATAGGTAAGGATATCTGTAGCTTTTAAAACAACTTCATACATCCTATGCCCTCACTCCAAGAGTATTCAATACATAAGGTGCTTGCAGGCAATCTTGATAAGTCGGAGAGAATGCCAGGGACACTTGCATGGAATCAAAACTATGCCTCTATGGTGCCTAGCCTCAAACCCAGGGAACAAGTAAGTTTCAGAAGAGAACTGACTGCTTATGTTGTGAATTGAGGTCATATTCTGCCTGGGAGGGGTCATTGTTGGGATTAGGAGAGAGCTCCCCGTTATAAAATCAAAAGAAGGACAAAAAACAAAAACAAAAAACCCGTTGCCATCGAGCTGATTCCATAGTGACCCTACAGGACAGAGTAGAAATGCCCCATAGGGTTTCCAATGCTGTAATCTTTATGGAAGCAGACTGCCACATCTTTCTCCCATGGAGTGGTTGGTGGGTTCGAACCACTGACCTTCCAGTTAGCAGCTGAGAGCTTCATGGTTGTGCCACCAGGACCCCTTTCAGCATCCCTGCTTAAACTCTTCAGCGGAGGGCTCCATCCCCCAAGGCAGCCTCCTTCTTTTGTCAGATAGCTCCAACCTTTTAACAGTCCTCAATAGAATATTCTTTACTAAAACATTGAGTCAATGATTCTACTTCTTCGAACGGAGGTTAACTATTATAAATCTATTATTCTACTAAAAACAAAAACAAAGCCAGTTGCCACTGAGTGGATTCCAACTCATGGCAACCTCGTGTCAGAGTAGAACTGTGCTCCATAGGGTTTTCAATGGCTGATTTTTCAAAAGTAGATTGCCTTTCTTTTAAGGCGTCTCTGTGAGGACTCAAACCTCCAACCTTTCAGTTAGCATCTGAGCGCATTCATTGTTTGCACCACCCAGGGACTCCTATTATTCTATGGAAACCTTATCATGTGCCTTCTAAGTCTTCTCGTCTCCAGTTAAAGCATTTCCAGACCCTACAAACACTCAAGTCCCCTCACCAGCCTGGTTCCTCCATTTGGCCATGCTCCCTCTAGAGGGGACACTTGGAACTGAAAGCAGTTATTTAAGGTATCTGTAGAGTCGGAATTGACTTGACAGCAACGGGTTTGGTTTTTTTTTTAAGGTTTACAAAGATTGAGCAGGTGGTAGAAATTGGATTTTCATATCATGCCTCCATTATTTGGCTTCATAAAGATTCCATTCACATCATAAGTCACAGTAAATGAACAATATTCAGAATGAAATATAAGTGATTTTGGGGTTGCTTGTACCTCCATACCTCCGTTAGTCTGAGTGGACAATGAGTATTGACTTAAGCTGCTTTCATTCTTCCAAACTGCCCATCCTAAGATGTCTCGGTCCCTAGAAGGAAGTCTCTTAGTGTGTCAAGTCTACACAAGGGATGTCATGAAAGAAAAAGAAGCTTCTATGACGTTGTCTTAGTCTGGGTTCTCCAGAGGAGCAAAACCAGTGAGATGTATATTTAAATATCTTTACTTCAAGGAAATAGCTCACACAATTCTGGAGGCTGGTAATCCCAAATCCATAGGTCAAGTAGCAGGCTGGAGACCTCTGCTGGCTCACAGGGTTGTGGGGGCTGGTGAATCCAAAATCCACGGGTCAGCTGGCAGGCTGGAGACTTCTGCAGGCTTGAGTCCTAGGAACCACAGGTCAGGTGACGAGAAGAGCGCAGGGTCGAGAGACAGGGTGCTTTGCCAGAACATCCATTTATATACTGGAGGCAGGCCACACCTCCAAGAAAACTCCCCTTTCAACTGATTGGTTGATCACATCAAATCATAGCATGGAAAGTAATTACATTACCTTAACTTACCTTTCATTATGGAACAACAACCAGTCCACTATCTGGCCAAATCACTGAGTATCGCAGCCTAACCAAGTTGATGCATAACATTAACCATCACAGAACGCATTTCCTTATTAAGCAGTTGGTCAGTATTACCATCCTATCACACTCACCTGCTTAAGAGCAGAGTTCACGAAGAACTTCTTTTCTGAAAATGGTGGTCAAACTCAACCTTCTGGCCATTGTCTTCCATGGCTACCATTTTCAACAGGAACAGTCCTGAAGTTCCAATAGATCTGCACAAACAAAAAAAAACCCAAACCCATTCCGACTCATTGCAACCCCATGTTTAACAGAGTAGAACTGAGCTCCAGAGGGTTTTCTTGGCTGTAATCTTTATCACCAGGCCTGTCTTCCATGGCATCAGTGGGTGGGTTCGAACCACCAGCCTTTAGGTTAGTAGTCGAGTGTAAACCATTTGCACCAGTGAGGGACCACAACCCTTAATTAATAGCATTTAATGCCATTTCTTAGTTTGCAGTATCATTAAGTATGCTGATTTAGCTCACAGTTGGACTCAGGGCTGCCAAAGGTGTGTTCAAAAAATAAAGGCAAGAATTCTTTGCTTTGGTAACAACCTCTATTTCTTTTTTTCCCTTATGTGTTTCCATAGTTCCTTCTGTGCTCCATAGCTACATGAGGAATCAGGAGCTTACCAAGAATCAAACCACATACCAGAGTCATTATGGGAATGCTTACTTGGATTTCTTAATGATTTTAAACTCATTTAACCCCTCTCAGATCACAGAGTACCTGAATAAGGTTTCCTACAAAGGTAAGGGGAGGTCCTGAGTTGCTATTAATGCCTTTGCTGAGTATAATAAATTGCTTCACGCCAAATAGAAGTTGTTCCCATTCTAGCCCCCTGGAGTTTGATGTCCACAAAAAGGAAAATATTGCCTCCAAAAAAAATCCCACTGAGTTGTGCAAACCTGAGTCCATTGAAAGGAAATGTTTTCTTAAGAGAGGCCTCAGTGACTATACACACTACCGCTTATTAAAAAGGTGACATAGGGTTTTTCACTCCCTCCCAGTCTCATTTTGCCTATGGCTGAACCGCGCCGGGACGACTTATCTTTTTTTACAGCTAATTGCTTTCTCCAGTGGGTGTTTTTACTGTTCCATGGTTTGGTTTTGTTTACTCTTTATTTCCCGTTTGGTGGTACTTTTTTTGTGACAGCCTTTTTATTTTTTTATTGTGGTTAGTATATATATAACAAAACATTGACCATTTCAACATTTTTTTACGTATACAGCTCAGTGACGTTAACTACGTTCATCACGTTGTTGTACAACCATCAGCCTTAACCCAAGCTCAGTGGTCCCCTGCCCGATGACTCCTTCTTTCCCCCTCCCTCCCACCCTTTGTTGTTGTGAGGTGCCGTCGAATGGGTTCCAACTCATAGCGACCCTGCGTACGACAGAACAGAACACTGCCTGCTTCTGCGCCATCCTCACAATCATTGCTGTGTTTGAGCCCATTGCTGCAGCCATTTGGTAACTGCTCCCACCCTTGGTAACTGCTAATAAACTTCAGTCTCTATACACTTGCCTATTCTAGATATTTCACAGAAGTGGGCTCATACAATATTTATCTTTTTGTGACTGACTTATTTCACTCTGCAGAATGTTTTCAAGGTTCATCCATGTTGTAGCAGATATCAGGACTTCATTTCTCTTTATGGCTGCATCACATTCCATTGCATGTATACACCACATTTCATCGATCCATTCATCTGTAGATGAACATTTCGGTTTTCACCTTTTGGCTATTGTGAATAACGCTTCAACGACCATTGGCGTACATGTGCCTGTTGATATCCCTGCTTTCAGTTCTTTGGGGTATATACCTGTAAGCTGAATTGCTGAGTCATAGGACTGGGCAGCATTTCGTTCTGTTATATGTTGAGTCACTATGAGTCAGAACAGACTCAACAGCACCTAACAACAATGGTAATTCTATGTTCAACTTTGTGAGGAACCACCAAGCTGTTTTCCACAGTGGCTATACCATTTTACAATCCCTCAAGCAATGAATGAGGGGACTTTTAAGGTACATGAAAAAATCTGTTGCTGTAGAGTAGATTCGGACTCATAGTGACCCTATAGGACAAAGTAGAACTGCCCCATAGGGTTTCCAAGGCTGTCATCTTCATAGAAGCAGACTACAACATCTTTCTCCCATGGAGCAGCTGGTATTTTCAAACTGCTAATCTTTTGGTTAGCAGCCAAGTGCTTAACCACTGCACCACCAGGGCTCCTGAAACAGTATGCAAGACTAAAAGGGAAGTGTGGCTGCGGGTGGGGAGGGGAGGAGGTGGTATTTTCCATCTTCACAGACTAAAAACAAGTTCATCAGTTGTCAACGAGTTGATTCCCACTATGGTGACCCTGTGTGCGTCAGGGTAGGATTGTGCTCCCTAGGGTTTTCAGTGGCCATGACCTCTCGGAAGAAGATCACCAGGACTTTTTTCCAAGGAGCCTCTGGGTGGGTTTGAACCACCAACATTTTGGTTAGTAGCCACTGACTTAACCATTTGCATCACCCAGAGACTCTCCGCACAGACAAAAGGCCCTTAAAAGAGCTTGAATGTTGGGTTTCAGGGAAGTACACGAAGTAGATGTTTTGCCTCACTCTGCGCCAGAAATGGAGGTATGCTTTTGTTTGGGAGGCTCATTCCTCTTAACAGATGCCTCTGGACCAGTTTGACACTTCAGAAGGAAACTGGGAGGCTCTTTGAGGTCTACTGGTCGAGTTTCCCCAAAGGCGGGGCTGAAGCTATGAAGAAGCTCAGGACTTCCTTCCTTGTCTTTTTCCCAGCTTTGGTTCATTGACATATAAAATCATCTTCTGCGTTTTTCAAGAATTTATTTTGTTGTTGTTGAGACTATACATAGCAGAACATACATCAATTCTACAATCTCTCTGTGTACAATCCAGTGACACTGATTACATTCTTCAAGTTGTGCAACCATTCTTACCCTCCTTTTCTGAATTGTTCCTCCCCCATTAACATAAACTCACTGCCCCCTCATCTTCCTGTCTTTCCAGTTGCTGTTGTCAGTTTGATCCCACGTAGATAGATCTTAAAAGAGCACAATGCTCATGGCAGACATTCTTTACTAATTAAGCTAAACTATTATTTGGTTTAAAGAAGACCTCAGGAGATATTTTTGGTTTAAGGTTTCAAGATTATCTCGGGGTGATGGTTTTGGGGTTCATCTAGGCTCTATGGCTCCAGAAAGTCTGGATTCCATGAGAATTTGAAATTGTGTTCTACATCATACTCTGCATTGGATAAGGAGCTCTTTCTACCTTTAGTAGCCACATCTATTTGACCCTATAGAAAGTATTTCTGTCTTCCGTAAGCAGGGTCCCCCATCTTCCCAGGGCCTCCCAGTACAGATGGAGCTCTCACTTTCTCTGCTGGCATGGAAACCATCATGGCAGCTGGGCACCTCTGTCTCCTTGTCTGTGTGCCATTTGCAATCTGAGCTTTAGTAGTGCCCCCTAACGGTGAACTAAGAAGTCCTTAGAGTGCTCTGTCAGCCTCTGTTCAACTTTTATAGACATTCTCCAAGATTCCCAGGGTAAGCTGATCCTTGATGTGAATAATATCTGTCCACCTAGCTGGGCTTTTCTTACCAGGCCAATGAGACATGATCTACTAGCCAGCAAGTAACTTTAGGACCAGTAGGCTTTTGTTTCTTCTTCTTTAAAATTGATTAATTGGTTTGTTTGTTTTGTTTTTGGTGAAAATACACACAACAAAACATACACCCATTCAACAATTTTTACATGTATAGTTCACTGACAATTGTTACATACTTCCCATTGTGTCACCATTCTCCCTGTTTCTGTCCATATTGTTTCACCACTGTTAACTTAGACTCAACTCTTAAAAGGAGCCCTGGTGGTGCAATGGTTAAGTGCTTGACTGCTAACTGAAAGGTCGGGGGTTTGAACCAGCAATTGCTGCTCTGCAGGAGAAAAGACCTGTTGATCTGCTTCTGTGAAGATTACAGCCTAGAAAACCCTATAGGGGAAGTTCTACTCTGCCCTGTAGGGTCACCATAACTCAGAATCAACTCACTGGTAACGGGTTTGGTTTCAATGCGTTGTCCATCTGATGTCTTATAGATAATTCCTTAAAAGCGTGCAGTGCTTAAGGTGAACGTTCTTTATTAAATGAGCTAAGTTGTTGTTTAAAGATGACTTTGTGGGATAGTTTTCCTTTTGTTTCTTCTTACTGCTCCTGCTTTCCTGCTTCCATTAGGACAGTACTGGGGGGCTGACACCCAAATGCCAAGCCCCAGAGTTTTGACAGTTTGTCTGCTTACTTGGGCTTATTCAGGATCTGCTTTTGATAGGTCTTAGTGTATCTTTTCTAGCTTTGCTTTAGGATGTGAGTTATGCTGTAGCTGTAAGCTGAGGAATGCCTGGGGCTACCAGACGCTGAGAGAGACAATAAAGTATCTTCCTCTAGAGACTTCAAACCTGAATTCAGACTCCTGTTGACATCCTGAATTCAGATTCTTAGATTCCACAACTGTAAGATGATAAATTTCTGTTCTGAGAAGCCACTCAATTTTTGATACTTTATTATAGCAGTCCTAGGAAACTAATGCAAATAGTAATCCTGGGAAATGGGGTGCCGCTGTAAGAAATACCTAAAAATGTGGAAGTGGCTGTGGTATTTGATAATGGATAGAGGCTGGAAAAGTTTTAAGGTAAAAGCCTAGAATGTCTGGAAGACACTGTTGGTAGAATTATGGAAATTAAAGATGAATCAAGGAGCCCTGGTCGCCCAACAGTTAAGTCCTTGGCTATGAACCGAAAGGTTGGTGGTTTGAATCCACCCAGTGGCTCCATGGAAGAAAGATCTGGTGATCTGCTCCTATAAAAATTACAGCCTAGAAAACTCTATGGGGCAGTTCTACTCTGTCATATAGGGTCACTATGAGTCAGAACTGAATCAACAGCATCCAACAACAACAAAAAAAAAAGGTAATTCTGGTGAAGACTCGGGAGTGAGAGGACCTGTAAAAAGAGCTTCTGTTGTCTTGAACAGAATGTTGCTAGACATGTGGACATTAAATGTACTTCTGGATGCTTTAAAAAAAAATGATGAACAAGTTATTGGACACTGGGAAAAGGCAATCCTTGTTACAAAGTGGCAAAGAATTTGGCTGAATTATGTTTGAATGTTTTATGGAAAGTAAAACTTGTAATTAATGAACTTAGATATTTGTTGTTGTTATGTGCCATCGAGTCCTTTCCAACTCATAGCAACCCTATGTACAACAGAACAAAACTCTGCCTGGTCCTGCACCATCTTCACAACTGTTGCTATGTTTGATCCTATTGTTGCAGCCACTGTATCAATCCATCTTGTTTGGGTCTTCCTCTTCTTCACTGACCCTCTACTTTACCAAACATGATGTCCTTCTCCAGGGACTGGTCCCTCTTGATAAAACATTCAGAGTAAGTGAAATGAGGTCTCTCCATCCTCCCTTCTAAAGAGCATTCTGGCTGTACTTCCTCCAAGACAGATTTGTTTGTTCTTCTGGCAGTCCATGGTATATTTAATATTCTTCACCAACACCATAATTCAAATGTGTCAATTCTTCTTTGGTCTTCCTTTTTCATTGTTCAGCTTTTGTATGCATGTAAGGTGATTAAAAATATCACGGCTTGTGTCAGGCGTGCTTAGTCATCAAAGTGACATCTTTGCTTTTTAACACTTTAAAGAAGTCTTTTACAGCAGATTTGCATGGAGCCCTGGTGGTGCAGTGGTTAAGAACTTGACTGCTAACCAAAAGGTCAGAAGTCTGAATCCACCACTCGCTCCTTGGAAACCCTATGGGGCAGTTCTACTCTGTCTTATAGGGTTGCTATGAGTTGGAATTGACTCGACGGCAATGGGATTTTGATTTTGCCCAATGCAATATGTCATTTGATTTCTTGACTGCTGCTTTTCTGGGCATTGATTGTTGATCCAAGTGAAATGAAATCCTTGAGAATGTCAATATTTTCTCCATTTATTATGATGTTGCCTATTGAGCCTGTTAGGGTCAGAAAAGGTATGGGTAGGATGGTAATGGTTCAAAATTAAATGTGAGATCATAAAAACACATAAATGCAAACATATGTGAGAAGAAAACATTAACATAGACACACGCACTCACACCCCTGGTCTATAAACCTCAACTGGCCTTTGCAACATTGACCTAATAATGTGATCATTTGCACTCTTCCTCCCTTTTGGTTTTGGCTGCACAGATGACAATTGCTGCGTGATAAATGTGATTATAATGTCATGGAACTGTACATGTAAAAATGTTGAAATGGCAAATATTTTGATATATATTTGATATTTATATGTACATTTATTGTGGTAAATATACACATATATGTGTACATATATATACCTGTATATATAGATGGAGCCCTGGTGGTGCAGTGGTTAAGAGCTCAGTGAGCTACGGCTGCTAACCAAAAGGTTGGCAGTTTGAACCCATCAGCTGCTCTTTGGAAACTCTATGGGCAGTTCTGCTCTGTTCTGTAGGGTCACCACTATGAGTCAGAATTGACTTGACAGCAACAGGTTTGTTTTTTGTTTTGTTTTGTTTTATATATGTATATACCTGTTGCTGTCAAGTCTATTCTGACTTATAGTGGCCCTACAGGACAGAGTAAAACTGCCCTATAGGGTTTCCAAGGCCGTAATCTTTACCAAAGCAGACTGCCACATCTTTCTCCCATGGAGCAGCTGGTCGGGAGAAAGGCTTGCAGTCAGCTCTTCTAAGGATTACAGCGTAGGAAACCCTTTGGGGCAGTTCTACTCTGTCACATGGGGCTGCTATGAGTTGAAATTGACTAGACAGCACAAACTATATATATACATATATATATATATATACACACACACACACACAATACACACACACATATACAGGTATGCATAGCTTAACATCCACCATATGTTCTGTGAAATAGGACGTTACATGATTTGGATGTTATGCGAACATCATATTATATACAAGAGAGAGGCTCGCAGGATGATCACTGGGCAGGCCAGGGACCCACACCACCACTGCTGAGCCAGGGCACTGTGTGAAAACTTTGGTTCCACCAAGGCTAGTCCTGCATGGTCACTGCCCGGTCTTCGAGAGCCACACCCAGCCCCTGTCACAGTGCAAACTTCCCATCCAGCCAGGCAGCCCGCCACCTCCAGGCGCACGGCTGACTTCCTTCCCTTCCTCCCTGCCTGCCTTCCCTGCCCCCCACCATGGATTTTAAACTCTTCTAGCACTGACTGCCCCTCCTCTGCCTCCTTCCCCGATGCCATTTCTGCTCCTCCTCCCACCACCGCCGCAGCCTGGACCACTCAGCAGCCGCCACCATAGGAGAAGCCATGGTCTCAGGCCTGAGTGTGATGTGCGGGGCACCCTGGCCAAGTAGAGCAGCAGCCTTGAGGGGCATCCCACTCAGTGGCTCCAGCGATGTCTGCATGGTCCCTGTCTGAGGGGAGTATGGTGGGACAGGCAGCTGAGCTGCAGATGCACCAAGACCGTCCTCCCCTGCCTCTCCAGGGCTGGGGTGGATGTGGGACCCAGGGAGTTAGTGAGATAGGATAGTGTAGATAGGATCTACAATACTTAGCAAAGTATGTCCCCTACGTCCCATTCTCTGATCAGGATTTCTTAGCTCTATTATAACTTTATGGAACCACAGATATATATGCGGTTGGACGTTGCCCAAACAGACCTTATGCAGCACATATCTGTGTATACACACACACACACACACACACACACACACACACACACATTTACCACAATAGAAAAAATATATGTAATCAGGATTAGGGAAAAATAGATGTTCAGAGCTAGACAAGACCCCCTCATTTTATTGATGAGGAAATGGAGGCCAGGGAGCTAGCTGTAAGCGCTTCCCATGGTCAAACAGTGATCACTCAAGGTTAGTAAAGCCTACCAACATTGGTGGGTAGAAAAAAACGATCTTGGCTGTTGTGAAACTTTTAGAACAATAATCTTTATAGTTTGTTTACTATCACTGTTTATCACTATGTTATTGTTATGTGCTGTGGAGTCGATTTCAACTCATAGTGACCACATGTGACACAGTAGAACTGCCCCATAGAGTTTCCTAGGCTGTAATCTCTATGGAAGCAGACCCGTAGGTCTTTCTCCCACAGAGCCAGAGCTGCTGGATGGGTTCGAAACACCAACCTTTTGGTCAGCAGCCAAGTGCTTTACTATTGCATCACCAGAGCTCCTCACTATGAAGGATAAGACTATTATGTATCAGTGTCTTTTATGGGCCAGGCACTTACTAGGTACCTCACACATAGTGTTCCTAATCCATTCCAACAACTGTGCAAGATAATTACCGTTGACTGTATTCAAAGATGAGGAAATGAAGAAGCAGAGAGGTTAACTGACTTCCTAATACTTGCCAGCACAGAACTGAAACCTAAAGTCTGTTTCATTCTAAAACTCATGCTCTTCCCATTAAGACTTGTGGATCCTTGAATATTAAGTTTACTCTTTTTAATCAACAATTATGTAATTATACCTTTTTAGGTATTAGACATAATGTCCTTTGGTTATTCTGATGCCTTATTAAATTTGTACATACAGCACTATTATCAGATATTTGCCTCTTTCACTGATAGAATTCTTCTATTTATCATTTAATTTAATGAAATTTTTCATCTTGTTTTTTCTTTGTAATTTTCAGACAGACAGATTCTTGAACGCTTCATTCGTTCTCACTGTGACACTGACCACGGGAAGACATGAAAAAGGAAACTAGATCAAATGAAGACAATCTGAAAAGCAACTGAAGCACTAGGGCCAACCTGGTCATCATGGAAAAATAAGATGCAAATTGCTTGAATTATGTTGTGATATTTGTGTCTTTGTGTTATCTCATTTAGCTTTATTTTTTTATAATTTTATTTATTTTTTGTTGTTGAGAATATACACAGCAAAATATACACCAATTCAACAGTTTCTACAGGTATCATTTAATGACATTTATCACATTCTTTGAGTTGTGTAACCATTCTCACCCCCCTTTTCTGAGCTGTTCCTCCACCATTAACATAAACTCACTGCCCCCTAAGATTTCAATCTAATTTTTAGAGTTGCTGTTGTCAATCTGATCCCATATAAATAGTTCTCAAAAGAACATAATGCTCAAGACAGACATTTTTACTAGTTGAGCTAAACTATTGTTTGGTTTTAAGACTTCAGGGAATATTGCAGGTTTAAGATTTAAAGATTGTGGTGTAGTGAATTACTTAATATGGCCCTTCTAGCCATAGTTTTTGTAATTCCCACCAAATGACTGGGTGGGACTATGCAAATGAGATGTTTGTGGCCCACCAAGGGGATTGGATAGCTTGCTTATAATGTAAATAACATGCATGGCACCTTTGTGGGGGTGGTAGCATGCAAATAAGGTGTGTGGAACCCTAACAAGGGGATTGACCAGTTTTGCCATCCTGCTAGGCTTAAAATGAAACAACCCAGAGGCAGGAAGGGAGGATCTCACCACCACCAGGAAAGAAGAGCCAGGAGTGGAGCACATTCTTAGGACCTGGGATCCCTGCACTGAGAAGCTCCTAGAACCAGGAAACTGAGAGAGAGAGCTGTAACACCAAAGATGGTGAGAAGCAGCGGCAGAGAAATGGTGGCAGCAGAAGCTGGAGACTGCATGGTGGATTTCCTGGCCCACAGAGTGAGAAAGCTGAGCGCCTTCAGGCAGGAGGTTTACTGGTGGAGTAGGGTGCCTCTGGGCACTTGGTGGAGCTAGGTTTGCTGACCCATAGAGCTAGAGCTGAGTGCCGTCAGGCTGAGGCTTACTGGTGGAGTGGGGTACTTCGAGCTGAGACTTACTGTCAGAGATAAAGAGCTTTGTAACACTTGCCTGAGCAGGGAAGAGGCCAGGTCGAGGGGCCAAGGGTCAGAGCAAGACCTGCCTGCAACATGGCTGAAAGAGGCTGTCTTGATTGAAAAACTGTATCCTGAACATTCCTGAACATGAATTACAACCTGTCACTTCCCTAATAAACCCCATAACTGTAAGTATGCTCTGAGTTCTGTGTGACCACTGCACAAATTATCGAACCCACCAGAGAAGTAGAGAGTGCTGTAGGAGGGACAGCTGGTGTCAGAATTGGTAAAAAGATTGGAGAGGAGATATGTCTGATCTCCACCTCATAGAATCAGCCTTGGGCTGTTGATCTTGGTTCTCCTTCCCCCTTGTGAAATTAAAGGAGGTCAGATGCCTTTGCCACGTCTTTTTATAAAGATTATCTAGTTTAGCTTTATTTTTAAACAAATAAAATTATTTAAGTCTATCAATTTTCCCCTGATCATAGCTTTAGCTGTATCCAACAGGTTTGGATGTAATATTTTTTCCTTTTCCCTTTTCAATAATTAATTTGTGATTTCAATTTTGATTTCCTCTTTGAACCAGGAATTACGTGGAAGAGGAGTATTAATTTCCCAATAATTAGAGTATTTTAAAAAATCTTATGTTGATTTCTTGTTGGAATGGACTAAAGTAAAAAAATCTCTGCTTTGGGAACTTTATCAGTATACCATATATTGATCATATATCAATTTATCAATATATCATATATTGATCATATATCAATTAATTAATATATGATTAATTTTTGTGGGTGTTACATGAATATTTGAAGAGAAAAAATATAGTCTGTTTATTGCATTTTTCAAATCCCTTATATCTTTGCCTTAATTATTCTTGAACAGTCAAATTGTGAAAGATAAATGTCAAAAATATTCCACAATAAATATGTTTCAATCAATTTCTCCCTGTATTTTTAGGATTTTTTTGCTTTATATCTTTGGCTGCTGTTATGTTTCTATTAAGGTTTGTGACTTATTCAGGGTTTATTGATTAACTTTTTTCCCTCATTACATGTTATTTCTTTTTGTCCTTGTAAGTTCTTTTGTCACGAATTGCATTTTAACTGAAATTATTTGCAGTCAGGCTGGGCTTTTTTGATTTAGTTTTTTGCATTTTTTTAGTATATCCTTGCCTTTCCTTAATTTCCAATCTTTCTTTGTAACTTTGTTGTGATGTATTTCTAAAAATACCTTATGACTGAATTTTGTACTATAATTAGTATGACAACTTATGTCATTTTATAGGAGAATTTAGTCAGTACATAGTAATGTTCATGCTTGATATATTTGATTGTATGTTTTCTATATTATTTTTTGTTTGTTGTTTGCTACTCTAGTTGCTCTTTTTAGTTTTCCTCTTCCTAATTTTCTTCATTTCTTTCCTCCACTATTTTAAAAATACATTATGTTCATTCTGCTAGTAGTTACTTTTTTTCCCTACTTGTCTTCTGTTAAGCCAGACATTAAAGAGATGTGAAAAAATAAAGTGTCACTCTTCTTACTAAATTTTGTTTTGGAAAATATACTTATTTTCTTAAAACTTTTTATGCTAACCTGTGATGAGTTTATTTTTTATTTTAATATTTTATTTTATTGTAGTAGTTAATTTTTTATCCCACATGGTTATTACTAAATTTAGATTTCTCCAACTGATATATAAAAATTACATAATTCCTATGCTTCCAGTACCTTTTACTTGCCTATTATTCCCACCCCTCCCGCTTACTGAGATCTTTTATTTTTCCATTCCATATTGTACTTCCCACTCCATCCCTGGCATGTGCGCATGCGCACATGCGCGCGCGCACACACACGTCATTGCTGAGATAGTTTGGAATATTTGTTCCCAGCTTTTATTAGGGACTTCCTTATAATTTACTTTTTGGATTAAATAAGTCTTTTTCAGTCACATTATCAGTATCATCCATTTGCATTTAACTATCACTGTTCCTTTCACTCCCTTGTCTTCCCATGTCATGAAATTCACGTTCTGAGTTATTAGAATACTTTCTATGTATTTCCTCAGATGAGTTACAAGAGTGGCAACATTCTGAATCTTTAGTTGTCCAACATGTCATTCTTTTGGTCTAAATGATGATATCTTGGCTGGGTATAGAATTCTTGGATCTTCGTTCTATTGTCTCAATAGTCCATTATCATTGTTCCACTGTCTTCCAGTTCAGAGTATTATTTATAAGTCAGTTACTGGTCTGATTATATTACTGTAAGTGACCTATTTGTTTCTTTGTTTCCTGAAAGTTTATAATATTGTCGCTTTACCTTTGGACTAAATTAGAAATTTTTTTGAGGCTATATGCCTTATCTGGGATCATTTTTTAGCGTCAGGAAATTTCTTCTATTTCACCTATTTAACTTTCTTTTTTTTTTTTTTTACTTCTCTGTTACTCTCTGTGTTACTTTTTCTCCTTCTGAACATACTATTATTTGCCTCAGAGGCCTCTTATATCTGTCCTTTAAATCATCTTTTTATTTATAGATTTTGTTTTTTCAGTATTTTTTACCTTTGCTGTGTGAAATTTCTTCCTTTTGCTCACTCAGAACATTAGTTTGGTTCTTAGCAGTGACCATTTTGCTTACTGTAGTTTAAAATTTAGGCATTGTTTTATTTTAGCTTTAATTTCAAAAAGTCTTTTTCTCTGTAGTTGAATTTCCTTGATAGTGATTGCTGTTTTATTGAGCTTATCCTTTATCTTATCTATTGACTCTACTTTAATTGGAGTCACTTTTTCTACTTGTTGGGTCTCGTCTTCCTCCTTCAATTTACGGGGTCCCATAAAGGTGGCATAGTGGTTAAGAGCTATGACTGCTAACAAAAGGTGGGCAGTTCAAATCCACCAGGTGCTCCTTGAAAACTCTATGGGGCAGTTCTACTCTGTCCTATAGTGTCACTATGACTCAACGACAACAGGTTTGGTTTGGTATAATGGGCAACACGGGTTGTCTATACTCTCAAGCTAGGTCAGGCCATTGGGGGGTCTCTTGGGCTAAGGAAATGAGCCTCAGTGGGAGGCTGGCCACTTTTTGTTTAGTGGATAAGCAGAAAAGTATCTGGTCTTACAGAGAAGGAGTTTGCTTACCTGCTGAAGTGCAAGTAAGAGTCTTATCCTCACTCTGGCCTCTTCCAAGAAGGTAGGGGACAACTCTTTCTCAGCTGCATAAATTAGGGGCAATTAATCCCACAATTGCCAATCTGAGTTTTCTAGGGTCAGAAGGCTTAAGCAGCCCTTCCCAGAAAAACGAGCACCAAGTGGACGGGTAAAGTTCTTTCGGAAGGACTCATCCACATTTGCCCATCTCAGGCTCATCAGAGAACCTTGAAGTCTGAGGTCTTTGCCATGGCCTCCAGCAGAGACAGCCTTCTCCTGTGACCTTGATCCTTCTGCTCTTGCATGGCACCAGGGCCAACGAGAAGAAAGCCTTGCACCTACTCCTGAGCTTTGGAGAATCTGTGGCTTCAGACACACCCCAGGCCTCTCGCAATAATATTCACTTTGTTGTTGTGAAACTGAAGAAAACATTGAGCATGTGTGGTCAAAAACAGGCTTTCAGGCCTCCATCTTGTGAAAGACTGATGTATAACAAGACCCTTGGAGCAGAGGTCACAAATGGGTACCCAGGGGCCATGCGTGTCCAAGATGGATTTAGGCCTGCACATTTTTTCTTTAATTTGAATTAGCTGGGAACTGTTAAAAGACAGATGATTTCAAATAAAAAACGTATTTTTGACTTCTGCTCTCTGCTCAGGAATCTAGAGAGCTGGAAAGGGCATAGTTCCCACTCTTAAAACAACAATAGCAAGCTGGACAAATTGCATCATGTCAAATGTCCCTCCTCTGTTC